TATACTTAGATTATTATAATAAACCCTACATTAAATGTCCGCGTGAAGATTGTCGATAACAATAAAAGTGACAGAACACTACCGCGCATGCGAGGATCGAGGAATCAAAGTGGAATCGGTACGGCTATCCGCCAGTCAGGTTACCAGAAAAGGTGCTGTCTGTCAAAAAGATGCTGTGAAAAAAATGGCAACTAAAGTTTTAAATTTGTTTTGGTATCTATTTACATTTAAAAGTTTTTTATACATGCATCACACTATTAGTATCTAATTACATTGTTTATAAATATATGTATTTATGAAATGTGTAAATCTTAAAAGCGCCAAGCACTACTAAGAAAGCGCCACCTTGCGCCAAATGTCAATGCTAAATAACTGAACAGCTGATAAATATTGAGTACCAATCAAAATTTTCAGTAAAAATTCGTAAATCTATCCAAGTTTCTAAGTCGCCGCGGTGCCTGCCACCTCTGATCCCTGGTACGGATAAATGCCCGGATTTTACCCTTCACCCACGGATTTCTACGGATATTTGACTAGAGAACTCAGGATTTTTCGAACGAAGGTTGGCAACGCTGATTTATATACCGTACCTTTATTTGCAAGCTATACATAGGCTCGAGGGTAACAAATGGGCTGATGGATTGGCCAAATTTTGGGAATCATAAGGAGACAGGTGAAATAGGCCCTAAATGATTAGGCTGATAAAAAGGCAAATGACAGCTGGAGGAGTGATGGCAAGCCAGAGACTTCACTTCTTTAGTTATATGTAGTTTTCTGTTCTATTTTATGTTTTCATAAAAATAAATATTTAAATTAAAGAATAAGACTTTTATTTTAAAACCCATGGGTATCCAATGGATAACCATTGGATATATAAATGTCCGACCCTCCTGGACATAGTGTGGATATCCAATGGATACCCAGTGGATATAGTATTGTATGCAATATGGTTGTCATCTGTATTGGATATGGTGAATCAATGGATATTTACTTTTCAATAAATAACATTGCAATGTTATGGAGATTGTATGGATATCCAATGGATAACCATTGGATATATAAATGTCCGACCCTCCTGGACATAGTGTGGATATCCAATGGATACCCAGTGGATATAGTATTGTATGCAATATGGTTGTCATCTGTATTGGATATGGTGAATCAATGGATATTTACTTTTCAATAAATAGTAAAAAAAATCTACTTCTATCCGATTCTCTCAGCGCATTGCAAATACTAACTACAATGCAAAAGACAACTATTTAGCTCTGGCAACTAAGAAACTAATAACAGTTACTACAGCAAATGAAAATGGATTTGAATTCAAACTGGGATGGATAACAGGCCATAATGATATCAAGGGAAATGAAAAAGCAGACCAGCTGGCTAAAATTGGAATCAACCTTAATGTCCCCTTGGAATGCCAACCTGACATGTATGAAATGATGCCCAACTTAAAGAAACAAATTATAAAGGCATGGAATGAAAAATGGAAAAAAATATCAACATACAAAGGAAAATGGTACAATCAAATTGAAGAAAACTTTCCAATAAAACTATGGTTTCATACAAATAAAATCAAAAACAGAAGACATCTAACAACAATCATACGTTTAAGGTCTGGACATAGATTATTTAAAACTCATCTTCATAGAATAGGAATAGAGGATAACCCTATCTGTGAATGCGGAGAGGAAGAAAATTTATACAATATATTACTGGAATGTCCCATAAACAAAATACCTGGAACAGACATCTACTTTGAACTGGCAAAAAATGACATTATCCTCCCTGCCAGCATAACTACAATATTGAAAAATTCAAACAAACAGAACTTAAAAATTATACTTAACTACTTTGACACAAACAAAATCAAAATTTAATCATATATTTTTTTTTAGATCCACACATAACTCATATCCTGGGATCCCTATCCGTGGTAGCATCTTTGCAAAGGGGGTTGTCCAAGTCGCTTGGCCGCTGCCTCCAAGCGTGAAAAGTTTTTAACCTTTGTTGTGTTTTGTGCTATACTAACTTTAATTTAAAACAAAAAACATAAATATACTCTACTCAAACAAAAAGTTTACCACACATATATGGAACGCCGTTGCATTTTTTAATCGCGAAATTTATATGTCTGCAAGACATATAAAATCAAATTAAAAGCATTAAGTACTCATTTTAAATCAAGTCTATCCAAAATTTTTTTTAATCTAAATATTTTTTCGTCAAGTAGTCATTTTAATTCAATTCATTTTAAACGTCATCTAAATTAGATGATCTAATACGTGTAATTCGACATGAATTAAAAATATCATAACGACATTTTAATTGCATTGAATTAAATATATGCTTTGCATTTTTTTGTCATTTGAACATTTTAATTCATTTTATTTTAGAGGTTAATGTGATTTTTATAATTCTACCCCAATTAAAAACATCACAGTAAGTAACATTTTAAATTTAATGAAATAAAAACGTTTGTTAAATTTTTCTGTCACTTTGATAATTTTGATTCGAATTTTTTTGTCTAGTTGATTTTTTTAAATCGAATTTTTCTGTGTAGTTGATATTTTTAATTCGAATTTTTCTGTCTAGTCAATCATTTTAATTCGAATTTTTCTGTCCAGTCATTCATTTTAATTCGAATTTTTCTGACTAGTTGATATTTTTTATTCGAATTTTTCTGTCTATTTGATATTTTTAATTCGAATTTTTCTGTCTAGTCGATATTTTTAATTCGAATTTGTCTGTCTAGTTGACATTTTTAATTCGAATTTTTCTGTCTAGTCAATCATTTTAATTCCAAGTGTGGAAACCTCTACTAACTTCGGCTAGATGGCGCAGTGGAAATAGAGATGTGTCAGTCAATTGCGAATGATTTTATTATTTCAAGTCCCAGATAGCACCATTCGTCCAATGGACGTCCGTTTAAGATCCATTTTAAGTACATTGGTCCACGGACTAAAAATGGATGTACTATGTACGTCCATATATTTACATCCTTTGTACGATTTTAATGGACGTCCATATAGTGTCCATTTTACGTCCATAATTATTATTACAGAAATGCAAGTTAAAACGTATTGTTGGCTGCATAACAACAGTTATGATCAATCTCACTGACATTCAAGCAAGCGCGTGCTATAAAGGACTTAAGCTATCAATGAAATATTAAACACTTGTAGTATTGCAAATGTAATGTTCCTGGGTCGAATACAAGGATTTCCTGCAATGTTCAACATTGAATGTTGTAACTTTTAACAACTTTTAGAATATTTATATTCCTAGTGGGATTGTTACTGAGCCAGACAGAAAATTTTCTGCAACATCGCAATGAAAATACAGTCGCAAAAAACAGTTAAAGTAAGCAAAAAAGCAGGTCTTGGATGCTGGAGGAATGGTTCAAACACCTTATAGACGTCCATCGGTGGACGACTTATGGATGTCCAAAGTTGTGACATCTGGACTCTAAACGGATGTCCATGGGACGTCCATAGAAAAAAGATGGACATCCTATGTACATACAGACGTCCACGAGCATACGTCCATTGGACGTCCATAGTATACCTTTGTGCTATCTGGGGTATAACATACATATACAAGTATAATTATTATTATATTATATACATATTATGTAAATTAGATACTTGAAATAATAGAATCATTCGCAATTGACTGACACATCTCTATTTCCACTGCGCCATCTAGCCGAAGTTAGTAGTAGAGGTGTCCACACTTAAAATGATTGACTAGACAGAAAAATTCGAATTAAAATGATTGACTAGACCGAAAAATTCGAATTAAAATGATTGACTGGACGGAATAATTCGAATTAAAAATATTAACTAAACAGAAAAATTGGAATTAAAAAAATATCGACTAGACAGAAAAATTCGAATTAAAATGATCAACTAGACAGAAAAATTCGAATTAAAAATATCAACTAGACAGAAAAATTCGAATTAAAAAAATATTAACTAGACATAAAAATTCGAATTAAAAATATCAACTAGACAGAAAAATTCGAATTAAAAATATCAAAGTGACAGAACAATTTAACAAACGTTTTTATTTCATTGAATTTAAAATGTAACTGTGATAGTTTTAATCATAGATAACAAAGCCTTTGGTTTTAATTGTCGTAGAATTATAAAAATCACATTAACCTCTAAAATAAAATGAATTAAAATGTTCAAATGACAAAAAAGTGCAAAGCATATTTTTAATTCAATGTCGTTATGATATTTTTAATTCATGTCGAATTACAGATATTAGATGACGTTTAAAATGAATTGAATTACAAAAATCAAAGTAAGAAAAAATTAAACAAACGTTTTTATTCATTAAATTTAAAATGTTACCATGATAATTTTAATTTTCCATAGCTGGAACGCCGAAATATTTTTTACTTGGTATTTCGATGTTATCATGACGTGGAATTACATTTTAAACTAACATTTAAAATAGTAGACTTAAAAATACAACAGCGTTCCATACACATAAGACATTTAAATCTATAAAAGCCCAAAAATCAAGGGATGAGAAATCTCAGACACTCGAGTTAAGATCTTAACTGGGTCCCTTGATTATAATGTATATTCAAGATATTATGAGCTGGCCAAATAGTTTTTAAATAAGCTAAAGGCCATCCCCCCTGAAGAAACGGAGACGTTTTTTCAGACCAAAGAAGAAGAAGAAATCCTCTATATACAAACATTTTAAGAAGTTTATGTGGTACAAAATGGGGGGCGGACCCCCGAACTCTACTTCTGATTTACAAAGCATGTATAAGGCCGTTCCTGGATTTTTGCAGTCCCCTCTTCTCTCGAGTACCCAAGACCCACATTTTAAAACTATCAAAAATCCAACACCATTCATTAAGAATTATAGGAGGATACATGAAAACTACCCCAGTTGTTAATGTATTACTAGCGGAAATCGGGGAACAACCACTCCACCTAAGCTGGCTTCCAAGTATGTAGGCAGACTGTTCTCCTTGGAAAACCACCCAGTCAAAGGAAAATTTATAGACGTCTACTCGGACTACTATGACGACGGAATTAATGTACCGTAAACTACGTCACATTATAATTTATGTGCCACCGTCTATTAGTGGGCAGCGGAAATAAAACTGTTGTTGCAGGCGGGTTGGGTAGATGTCAGGGTAGGTATTGATGATATGCTTGAGAATTGAATTTGTTTCTATGCCGGTATAAACAACTTTGAACGCAGGTATGTAAAAAGCAATATTTTATGACCGTTACACTTCCCACGGCCCACTATAGAGTATTTAATACTGGCAATTCTAGTATTTTTATTTATGATCTTTAGAATGTCGTAAAAGCTTAACATATTATACCTAACCTAAAAAAAATTTAGTTTTAAGTTAACAACCCTTTTTATTTTTGTTTGTTGTTTTTAAGGTGGACATGCCGTCCAAATATAAGAGGCGTTTGGGAAGTCGCAAATATCGCGATTTCTCTGGGGAAACCCTGCAAGAAGCTTTAGAAGATATTCAAATTAATAATCTGACGTATCGCGCAGCCGCCGACAAGTATGGGATTCCCAAGTCGACTCTGGAAAGAAAATTAAATAAAAAAAACATGAAGTCTCCGGGAGGATCCATATGGATCGATATATATCGTTGTTCCTATCTAAAAGAAAATACAAAAATGAGAAATGCATATCTCTTCCCCATCATTTTGGACGAAGGAGATATAGAGCCACATGAGTTTGTAGCAAAACTGCCACTTCCACAAAGACTGAGGAGGGGAGGAATGGTATTTAAGGAAAGTGCTATGAACCAATTTATTAACAATTATTAATATTTTATTTTGTTTTTTTTTTTAGTTTATTTTTGTTCACTGTTTTATTTGTTCGTGGTCAATAAATTACTACCTACCTACACAAAAGAGAAGTTTTTTTTCTCCTTTATAAAATATTTGTACAATTAAATATTTTTAAAAAGCATTTATTTGTCCCAAGTCACGTTAAAGAAGCATTACTTTATAAAAACATGAAAATTAATACTGTGTCCCAAGTGTTCCAAATCGACGGGTGACTTGGGACAGCATGTTTTTATTTTTTTTTTCAAAATGGGTCGATTTTTTTGTACAGAATTGCATCAAAAGTTATAGCCTCAAGTATTTGGCATGATATGGCATATTTAAAATGGATAAAAACTTTATCGTTTTTCAGCCATGGTAAATTGAATTTCTAAATCGTCCCAAGTCACCCAATTCTACGGTACTGGCAAACAAATTTCCTCCCCCTATAATCTACGCATTGGACTTTTTCCTCAACAAAACCGCCTCGATAAAAACTTCCCCCCTTTTCCCCTGCTTCAATACAAACTTCGACTCCATCACCGTTAAAAGAAAGATCCACGTACCCGCTCTCCAAAAACAAACGGACAATAAACAGGCTGCACTACTTTCAAAACAAATGGAAAGGCTGAGAAGCCTACTACACGGACGGCTCAGTCAGCCAAGTCAGAGTTGGGTCAGGAGTTTATAGCCCTTCCAATCAACTAAAATACTCCGCCAGACTCCCAAACCATGCCTCCATAGCGACAGCAGAATGCTTCCCAATTGCTCAAGCTCTGTTACACGCTACAAACAGCCATATCCAATCCGGAAGAAGACACTTCATTACACAGCTAACAGAAAAATATAGAATTGTATAGGATGACTCCCCGTTTGAATACTAAATCTTAAAGTTTTATCAGAACTGTATTGAATCGTGCTTTGTTTTTATATTTTTCGCCTCTATACCTATGCACGACTATAGTTAAAGTTAAACTCAATGGTGTCTTGCAAGATACATTATTTTGATTTTCTATATTCAACAGAGATGTAGAAACTCGACCCTGTCGAATGATGCAGTCATTTATGTCTCTAGAAATTATTGAAAAACGGTTCAGTCCAATGGTGCAGCAACTTCGGATTCCTATTCTCTTCAGAGAAATAGAAACTCAAGTTTCTCGAATTTTACTGGCAATGATTTTCGTTAATGTCCCTGAGAATTATACAAAACCAGCGCAATGCAATATCGCAACGGTTTCGACTTCTCTTTACTCTACCAAGTTATAGAAACTGGAGTCTCTCTAATACTGTTCTAGTCAATATTTCTGAGAGTATAAAAAGAGGGTGTAATTCAATATTGCAAGAAGTTTTGATCTTTTGATGGATGCAAGTAGGTAGTTTGAATATTCCCATTTCTGCATATGATTTTGTTGAAAATAGTTCCTTTCTTTGGTTCCTTCGTCTGATTTTTATTTACCGTAACAACTCAGGTATGTAAAGCACAGAGGATATGATGTAAAGTATATTTATGTAATATATATAGTACCTATATATATATATATAATTTTTAATACATATGTATTAAAAATTTCAGAGGTTCCCTGCTGAAAATGACGGATGATTGCGGATATAAATTCTTCGTCAAAACCGGATAAAAGCAGATGATTGCGGGTATAAATTCTTCGTCGAAGCCGGATAAACGCAGATAAAAGCGGGTAAAAATATTATCTGATAACATCTGCTTTTGTCCGCATCGCTATATCCGCGAACACCCGGTTGGTTGTGTTTTATGTCCGGTTAGTGCACCCCCGCAATCATCTGCAATCATCTGTTTTTAACCGTCTTCACTGTGTTTCGTTTATATCTGAATTTGTCCGGAATCATCTGCAAACGTCTGCTTACGTCTGTTTTTATCCGCGATTACCTGCATTTTTTTCGTCTATTTTTGTCGGGTTTTATCTGCAAACGTCTGGTTTTATCCGCGAGCATATGCTTTTACCCGCGAACATCTGATTTTATCCGCCAACATCTGCTTATATCCGTGAACATCTGCTTATATCCGCGAACATCTGCTTTCATCCGCGAACATCTGCAGTCACCCGCGAACAACTGCTTTTATCCGCGAACATCTGCAATCACCCGCGAACATCTGCTTTCATCCGCAAACGTCTAGTTTTATCCGCAAACATCTGCTTTCATACGGTTTCACCCACAAACATACTTTTATCTGCGAACGCCTAATTTCATCCGGTTAGTGCACCCCCGCAAACATATGCTTTTATCCGCAAATATCTTATTTTATCCGCGAACATCTGCTTTTATCCGCAAACATCTGCTTTCATCCGCGAACATCTGCAGTCACCCGCGAGCTTTAACTAACTGGTTGTTAGCCGTTCACGGCACACAACTTTATAACTCTAAAAAGAATTATTTGAATAAAAACAACCTGTAAAGAAAATATGTTTATTCAACACGACATTTTCCCAATGGGAAAATAATTTAATTATATTCACCAGATTTAAATTTAAAAATCAGGTATACTATAGTGAAGAGTACCACAGAAATAATAAGTCTATTAATTCTTACATATATATTAAAAATATTGGTTATGCCAAAATTAAAAAGTTTTTAAAGTTAGATGAAAAATTCTACGCCTAAATAAGTGTTTTTCAAACAAATTCCATACAAATTGAAGATGTTATAATTCCAAATGTATTTGAAATTAAACATATATGTTTTCTAACAATTAATTTAAATGTAAGCTTAATGATTAAAAAATATCTATTTATGTCCTTAAAGTATACACGAGAAAAAGGAAAACAAAAAGCGCGAATGAAACCAGACGTTTGCGTACGAAACAGGACCGAAATGGACAAATGAAATGCAGGCAAACCGAACGCGGATGAAAGCAGAGATTTGCAATTAAAAGCAGATGTTTGGAGATGTTCGCGGATAAAAGCAGATATTTGCGGATAAATGCAGATGTTTGCGGATAAAATCAGATGTTTGCGATTAAAATCAGATGTTTGTGGATAAAATCAGATGTTTGCGGATAAAAGCAGATGTTTGCGGATAAAATCAGATGTTTGCGTATAAAATCAGATGTTTGCGGATTAAAACAGATGTTTGTGGATAAAATCAGATGTTTGCGGATAAAAGCAGATGTTTGCGGATAAAATCAGATGTTTGGAGATTAAAGCAGATGTTTGCGGATAAAATCAGATGTTTGCGTATAAAATCAGATGTTTGCGGATAAAATCAGATGTTTGCGGATAAAATCAGATGTTCGCGGATAAAACCAGATGTTTACGGATAAATGCAGATGTTTGCGGATAACATCAGATGTTTGCAGATAAAATCAGATGTTTGCGGATAAAAGCAGATATTTGCAGATTAAAATAGATTTTTGCGGATAAAATCAGATGTTTGGAGATTAAAAGCAGATGTTTGCGGATAAAAGCAGATGTTTGCAGGTGAAATCTTATGAATCAGACTTTTGCGGACTAAATGAGATGTTTGCGGATTAAAACAGATGTTTGTGGATTAAAATAGATGTTCGCGGATGAAAGTAGATCTTCACGTATAAAAGCAGATGTTTGCAGGTAAAATCACATTAAACCGGGTGACTGCAGATATAAACTCAAATAGAGGTATTTGCGGATGAAAACAGATAAAAGCAGACATAGATCTAAATAGATAAAACCCGACGTTCGCGGATAATATTTATACCCGCAATTGCAGATAAAAACCGACATGCCGGGTAAAATCAGATATGTCGGATAAAAACAGATATAAATGGACATAAAACTAGCTTGGTTTTTTATCCGCAATCATCCGATATTACCCGTCTTTTTCAGCAGGGTTATGTTGAAAAAATGATCGATATTGCTATTAAACTTTAAAAATTTGGTAATGAGGTATGTTGGTAGACCCTGCACATCTCCACTGTTAGTTTTATGTTAGTACAGCAATATTTAAATCAGGTTGATCAAAAAGTACACACCAGTGCAGGTTATTGTAGCATCTACGAACCTTTATAATCTGTGCTACGAACAAATGAATGATTGGCAATTATTCCTTTAGAAAAAATATTCAACACAGCTTAATTAATTAATAAAATAAAAAAAATCACAATCATGTCGTGTATAGTTTTTTTTCAAGCATAAAATAATTTTCATATTAACCCGTAACCGGTACTGTGGTGTCTGGGAGACACTCATCAACGAACAAAGCCCTGTCCCACCCTCACCCAGCGTTGCCAACCGTACCATAATTATGGAATTGTACCATAATTTCACTATCTTTTCCATAATTTTTTTAGGCGTACCATAATCAATAATTATACCATAATTTTGCAACTTTGCGTTAATCCTCATTCAACGGCAAAACGATTTTTTCAGTTAATTCTTGTGATTTTAAAAATAAATGTGTAATTTATGTGTTTTTAATTGTTTATACCATTTTTGTTTTGAACAGTTTGCTATTTTGTCTGCTCAAACTGGTTAAATATATTCTTTTTCTATGGGTAGCTTTAAATTTAATGCATTATCAAAATTTGTGTTTTCTAAAATTAATTTAATTAAAACAGATTTGCGCAATAAACTTTGCAGTGAAACTATTAATGGTTTACTGTTAAGTAGGAATGGAAATAAATTGCGTTGGAATTGATCCACCGTCACCTATGTACAAGCTAATGACTAAAGAAATATATTCTAATAAGAAGACTGATGGTGGTGAAGATCTCATTTAATTAAATTATAAAATTTAATTAAATCTTTTTTTTTTTACTTTAAAACCAAAGTTACTGTTAGAAATAATTATTTTTATTTGTTGAAAACATTTAACATTTAGAAATGAAAATGTGGTGTTGTTTTTTTTTATATTTTTTTCCTCTATCCATTTAAAAAAAACTGCCTCTTATTTATATTTTAGAAGGTGTACCATAATTTTATGAATTGTACCATAATTTTGAGGGTTGTGTACCATAATTTGTTTTCACATGGTTGGCAACACTGCCCTCA